TATATATAAGCGCCATCTGTTAGCATCATGTGTAAGTACATGGCAAAGGCACGCAGCCGACATTTATTACTGGTGTCTGACCGCTGTATAGCAGAGAAGCAACAGCTTTCTAATTTGCTCATAGCTTCTCATTACTCAGCCTGGTAGAGGTAATGCAGTAAAGCTATAGCCCTATATTCACACCCGCGCGCGCTCCAACAAGTGCCACCTATTTCCGACGTTGGTAGCGACTGATTCGCATACATCAGACAAATTACATTCGTCATTATTTTAACCTACATACAATCAAGATATAATACCTACACTGGTACATATCCCGCTAGTTATGAGGCTGGAAACATTCTGCGAGCTAGGGACGGAAGTATAAGCATGATACACCGTTAAGGCTACGTGCCTCACCGACACACGTCCGTTAATCACGTACACGGGTGATACTCAGTAGTCGCTTCATGTAACTACACCATTCACTTGCCAGACTTTATACCCATGCACGACCGCACGACGGGTATATGTGCTGCGGTACGTCGTACATGTTAATTAAACACGCTCTGGCCGCGTTCGTTGTCGTCATCACGTTAATTATTAATGACATGCACAAGGCGAGTCTCATTTATCATATATCGCCAACAAACAGTGCCACTGACACACACGGACAGACTCAGCATATACGCATATGATAATGAATGTTTGTCCTTCTCTGCCGGGATACGAGGTGACAGAGCAATGACCGACAGAGCATTAACCCACGGGAGTGCATAGGGACATAGGTAGACATAGGAGGGCATAGGGACATACTAGGTAGACATAGGAGGGCTTAGGGACATAGGTAGACATAGGAGGACATAAGGACATAGGTAGACATAGGTAGACATAGGTAGACATAGGAGGGCTTAAGGACATAGGTAGACATAGGAGGGCATAGGGACATAGGTAGACATAGGAGGGCATAGGGACATAGGTAGACATAGGAGGGCATGGGGACACTAGCACACGAACGTACGCATACATTTACTTCTCCCGCTCTCCCGAGAGAGAGAGAGAGAGAGAGAGAGAGAGAGAGAGAGAGAGAGAGAGAGAGAGAGAGA